GCTCGCCCGGATCCCACGGTCCGTCATGGCGATCAAGCGCGCAACCGGCCAGCCTATCGTCAGCCCGACACGACTTTCCGACTCGCATCAACACACTCTGCCTACCCACTGCTTCCCGGAAGCTGGCTTAGGAGTCGAGAACGTAAGAGAGATTTGCGGACGCGCTTGCGGGTTTTATAGTTGCGACAAGGGAGATAGAAGGGGGAGAAGGCGATAGGAAAGCTGATGTGTAAGAGGAGAAGCAGGAGGAGAAGACTTTGAGAAGAGCGCTCTACGAACGCCATGCTGATCCCTCGGAACTCAAGGTTTAACCAATCAGATTCGTTGCGCGATAGGAAGGTCCTATCGATCCACGCACCTAATTGGCGAGCGGGAGTTATTGGGGGATCGACCGGGCGTCGTACGCCAGACTTAGAGGGTGAGAAGAGAAAAGGCGCGAGAGGTGGCGCAAGACGGGTCCAAGATTCAGATGATCAAGAAAGGGAAATGGGCGCGCGAAAGCAAGGCGGGAGAGAGAGAGAGGGAGAAAGAAAAACAGTTACGGGGAGAGAGAAAGAGGAGGGAGAAGGAAAGGGAACGCGGGAGGGGACGATGCGGGGGACAGAAAGGAGGAAGCTTTTGCATGCACGGCGCCATCAACAAAAAAAGAAAAAGGCACCGAAACAGTTACAGCTGGCTCCTAATTCAAAATTGAAATCACCATATCCGCGCGCGAAAAAGTGACGCGGGAAGAGAAAATCCTACGCCTATTCATGTCCGGACGAAATTCCGAAAGTTTTCCCCGACGCGCCCAAGAACATTTACACACCCAAAAAGGACACGTCGAAGTTCCGCTTATCCCGGAGTTCCCAACTACCGAGCCCAATTCGCAGCGCGCTCGCTAAGGCGCGTGCAATTTCCCATGTATTTCCTGACTTCGCAAAAGGAAAAACAGAACTCAGCAGTCGAAAAAGCTCTCAAAAAAAAAGGAAAATGCAGCACCCGAAAGCAAGAAATCAAAAAGGGGTTTTTCCTGGGGTTGGTAGGATATAAGCAAAAGAAAGGGTACGAAAGATAGCTCGGGTTCGTGAAGTGGTTCGTCACATGGCTACTGTTGGTTGTTGAATATGCTGGTAGTTATGTGAGCTAGTGTGATATCATAGTCTGTATGGATGTATGTGGTTGCTTTCTGCTACTAATGAGCCTTGCTTATGTCTGTTCGCTAGGGAGAATCGACCAGTGGTAATGGTGGAGACCTCGACCCTCATCAACTACCCCCGACCAACCTCTGATAACCCACCTCCCCAGAATGGGTCTACAGACATCGAGAGTAGGACACACCTCTTGATTCAACATTGGTTTCCCTACAGGGGAACCCTGCCCACCATAGGACTGCCACGATATCATCATGCACCCAAACAGCCCCTTACCACTCTCCGGCCCGAGAGGGTAGCATCCATCCCACATCAACTCTCCCGCAGGAAAGGCACACGTCCCCACCGAAATCCGTCCAGAGGAACATCCCTAGCTGATATGATGAAGAGTATATATAGACATGATGAATGAGCATAGTATGGAGTTGAACCCGGGACCTCCAACTTACAATATCAGAGCTTTACCCACTGAGCCATTGAGGTCATTAGTCGTTATGGGCACTATGCCAGGGTCGGGACAAGCACGTGGGGTGCAACCTTCACCAACCAATTGTGCTCGGGGGAAATTGTGGGCCGACAAAGTCAAACCCGCAACCTCCCCGTTGCAACACCGAAGCTCTGCCCACTGAGCTACCACGCACTTGCTCACCAACCGGCCGTCTTGAAGGTAAGATGCCAAGCTGGTCAATTTTGTTTTCGTTGTGACGTGGAGGGAAATCGTGCCACGTCATATGACTGCTGGACCCCTGTGCTGATGTGGCAAGAAGGGACGCCTCCGATTGACTCTCCTCGCGCTGTCCATCAGAGGCACATACTAGGGATGAAAAGTATCAAACGCGTGAAAAAAAAAGTAGTGACGACAAAAGCAAGTGCTCGATGTGCGTCCAATGAAGGACCTGCGGCCGACCAGCTTTAGAGAGTTGTGGGGGATAGAGGATGTAGTCGATAGGGAATGCATCGTGGTCAGACTGGATCCATCGTGGGCAGACTGTCGGGTTTCAATTTCCTGAGGAGTCCGTGATAAGTCCGAAGAAACAGCCTGGCACAGTTATGATTTTTTGTGGACTTGTGTATAGCGAGCATCACAACACACATGGCCTTGCTAAGCTCTCCGTACAAGGCAGATCGATGTGGTTAGGGTTGAGACCATACAAGTGGTTATGCTAGTGGATATCTGTGCTGAGTGGGTGTGTAGAGTGGTGGTATTACGGCTGTGACACGCCAAAGAAGATTATGACTCAAAACAAAAGCGCTGTGTGAGTACTACACTCTGAACCGGCCACAGCGTGCTGCACAACCAGAGCAGAGGATTCGCCACATCCCAAACACACATGCACACACTCACACACAGCTGTCTCAATTTTGAATCTGCTCATCTGGGTGGAAAAGGGGTTGTTGTGGCGACATTTTACCGCACACTCCACGCACATGTATGTTGGGGCCAACAATTTGTCCTTCACAGAGGGGCGGCTGCACCAAGGCCCGGCAGTTGTTGGCCCATTGCAGCCTTGCAGGAAATGACTAACAGCTTGGGTTTTCTTATAAATTGCATCACAAATTTCTGAAAATCCGGGCCTCCATTAACCGCCTCTCTTGGGTTGGGCAAATTTTGATGAATTTTGCATGAAAGGGCACCTTTGCCTTGAATTTTTATGCTGGTTGTTTTTTTTTTTTTTTTTTTTTTTTTTTTTTTTTTTTGGGGTAGCGTGGGGTGCGTGGGGGGGGGGAAAGGGGGGAGGAAAGGGAAAGGGGACTGCTCCTCTCAAAGGGCTGATGAAATTGGGTAATGACTTATTTGCCTGTACCACCAGGCTCACTCCCCACCCTGGTGCATTTGGCTAGGGGGCCAATTTGGTCCACTTGAGATGTTCCCGCACTTGGCTATTTCTGTTTCCCATGGCTTGTCCTTCAAGTTGGTATCACTTGAAGGCGACAATCGAAGATCTGCAATCTCCTCTTTTCAATTGGTGAGGCAGGTGGCTCAGTCTGGGTGTCTGTCTGCGAAGAAAACCCATGTATGGACCCTTCAGCGAAACAGAAGGAAGGAAAATGGGCAAATCATTGCTGTAGACTCAGAAATGGTGAAACTAGGTATAGCCCTGTCAGAGTGCAGCTGCAAATCCAGATGATGAACCTCGTGTGCGGACACTCAGGAGCACTCTGACATGGCCAGTTTCGGGATCTTGAAACTCAAGTGGGCTACTTTGATCAGATTCATCTGCTCTAAAAAGGCCTGCACACTATCCGGTTCGTTTTTTTTTCCATTTCTTTTCTTTTCTTTTCTTTTCTTTTTTAATAAAAGCGCTCCAGTCTATTGGTGGGGAGCTGCACCCGCTCTGCCCGGTTCGCTCTGATGTCTACATGACATTGTGGACAATTGCTCCTTGAAAAAGCCATCACAGTGGTAGCAGTAGTACTCGAAGAAGTGGTAGTAGTTGCGATAGTGGTAGTGGTGGTGCGCCTGTTGGCAAAGAACATCACGAATGAATCTGATCCGCATTCTGGTGCCTATGCATCTTGAACAGCAGCTCTATGGAGCCAATGCTGAGACCTCTGACTGTGGCCAACCTTGCAACCGTGCTGAGAAAAAAACACACCAGCACCAAGGTAGACGCTGCGGTTCCTCTCCGTCCTCCTGACGATTTCCCAGATCCCTTCCCACCCCATGGCCTCTCTATCGTGGATCTACAGTGGAAAGGAGCCGCAAAGGAGGCCTCACCTTTGGGATTGGCAAACAGCAAGACAGCTTATAAGTCATAAAAATATTTGTGTTAATAATCAAATTATCCTTCGGCCTAGCTTTCAAGTTTCCAGTGGTGATCTTATTTCTATTCAACAAAATTGCAAGTCAACCAACGGCACTGTCAAGGAGTGGTAAAGACGGTAGTATTATTGTCAAATCCTCTCATGTGCATCTTTTGACCTCTTTTTTTTTTTTTTTTTTTTTTTTTTTTTTTTTTTTTAATAAAAAGCTCCGTTCTATTTGCATCTTTTGACTTGCTCAGTCAAGCCCCTGGTTTNTTTTTTTTTTTTTTTTTTTTTTTTTTTTTTTTTTTAATAAAAAGCTCCGATCTAATTGCATCTTTTGACTTGCTCAGTCAAGCCCCTGGTTTCAGGGTAATCAATGCTGGCAGGATGGCAGTGAGTTCAGATGCAAAACTGTTCAGGGATGTTCAATAGGCAGTCCTGCAGGAGAGTAAGTATAGCTCTATAAATTTGTTGCGCTAGACTCTGGGGTATGTCATGATAGCACATCTGCAGGAGAGCAACTATATCTCTGTAGATCAAGAATAATGACAATGTTCAGGGACAGACGCTGGACCCGGTTTCCAGCAGGTGCTGCTCCCCACCAATAGATGGAGCCTCCCGAGAATGCTAGGGGTGCCTGCTCTTATCAGCACCCCTAGCATCCAGGCAGGTGATTAAAAAAAAAAAAAGAGCCGGCAGATCCGTTTCAGCCTGGTAGAGACTCTGCAGCTCTGACTCTTGCGAGCCTCCATGTAGGAATTAAAAAACACCAAGTGGGCCATGCAATTTTGGAGTCGAGCGCCTACTTTGTGTCCCGGGGGCAAGGCTCCACATGCATGGATCTTTCATGTCTAGCCATTGATCATCGTAATCTCTGGTTTGAAAGGTGGAATCCAGGTACGTGGGACCTTGCCCCTGCCATATGCATCAGGAGTGGAATAACGCTTCCCCCCCTCTTCTTCGTTCTCCTCGCTAATCATCTGCTGTTATGGCATTCTAAGTTGTACTTGGCCACCAATGGAAAGGACTCCTGTGAGAAAACCCTAAACCACAAAAAGAAAAGACTCCTCGACTTCTTCAATTAAACAGATTGCTTGATGTACACAAGTAATACATGATAGTAGTCAGTCAATTATCTTAAAAAGGGAAAATGAAAAAACAAAAGAAGGAAAAAGAGTACATGGTAGGAAGCAACTGGTGAGCTTGTGAACAACAGACGCACAACTTTGGTCATCTTTCTTGGAGTAGGGCCAGTCTCTTGATTGGCAGGGATGTGGGAGGTGGTCTCGGTTTTGCTCTCTCTCTCTCTCTCTCTCTCTCTCTCTCTCTCTCTCTCTCTCTCTCTCTCTCTCCCCACAAGATAGTTTTAGCTCCTGCGTTCGCTTCTCGTCACTTCCCGAAGTAAGGAGTGAAGGACTCCAGGAGGGCTTTCAGAGGGGATACATCCCACACCTCGCTATGGATGGCAACCAAACCATCATCGTTGATTGTGTATCGAGTAACGCCATTCACTGGTGAGATATGTGGCCTCCATGGGAATTTCAACACTCCTCCCAACACCCATGCTGCATCGATTGTGTTCTCGCCACTCACTGCAATCGACCGGAACTCAAAGATAGACGAGTCTGGGTCAAACAGGGTTTTCACCGTTTGTACATAACGATCGACGCCTATGGTTACGTTGGTTGGATCCTCAAAACGACAGTCGTCTGTGTAAACTTCCTTCGTCAAATCTCCGGTCAACAAGTACTTTCCCTCTTTGATATCACACTCAATGATCGATTTGATCTCCTCAAGAGGCAGATGTTTCCGCTTTCCATTGCCCGATGGCGTCTCCAAGGGTGTGGCAAGAGCTGTGCCGCCGGTCATCGTATCCAAACTCGTGTCGAGGAGAACTCCAAGACCACCGGAGACCACCATAGCCATCAAGCTGCGTCGGTCGAAGCTCATCGTGGCCTGCTCTTCTCTCTTCGCCTTAATCGGCACCAACAAGTCATCTGCTGCTGGCCCATGGGGAGGCAGAACACATCCCTCCATGCTGCTACTGCTACTCTTTTCATCCCTCCTGAGTGTATTCTCATTCACTTCCAAACGGTCGAGACAAGACCGAGTACTTCCCGACGAGAGAGCCTGCCCCTGCCAAGGACGGCGACTTGTCTGAGGGTGAAATTTCTGTTCAATCAAGGAGCTATGGCATGCACCCCCAGTCCTCTGGCATATCGCTGCAGTTGCTCCAACTGGTAACTGCTCTCCTGCAAAGCTTGGGCAGGAGACTGCTCACAACACCCACAAAAAACGACGATCGATGTAAACTCAACACGCACAAAAATGATGATTGATGCAAAGTTGGGCGTATTTCGGGCATATCTCCATGTCAGGAGAAAAAACTTCAAAAAGGAGCCACCAGCGCATCAAAAAATAAATTGAAAGGATCATGCATTACCGTATTATACATGGAGGAGCTAGCGGAATGGCGGCACTGGCAACGGAGAGGACTACAAATCCAAGCCAGTGACTAAGTGTTCCCTCGACAAAACCATGTCCAAGTTTTTCTTCGCTAAGATTCGCTCAGACGCGAGGAATAATCTGATAGAGGGCCTACAAGACCCCCATAACCCTGTTATAAGCACAAAGCGGGGCCAGGACATACGGCACAAATCACCCACTCCTTCCACGCCGACCGTAGGAATCTAGAACATCCTCCCCCTTTCAACCGCAAATAAAAATAGCGGTCCGTCGGAACGAGATGGTCCTCAGCCAAAAGTTTTTTGTATTGCAATGCTGCACAAGATCCTGCACTGCGCCTGTTTGGCAGGAATTGGGGCACAGGAAAAAAATCTCATTTTCAGAAATCCCAGAGAGAGAGAGAGAGAGGGGGGAAAAAAAAAATCCTAGAGAAAAAGATTTACCACTGTTTATCATGGTTATGCCGGACCCGGACACTGAACCAGTCTCCCCCAGATGTCCGGCCGCACCTGTGTATGAACTGCTCCAGACCGTCTAGATTGAAAACCCCCTTTAAACCACCACTACCTTTCCCGCTGTTGGGAAAACGGGAAAATATCCTATTCCTAAAAAATTGGAGGCCGGGCCCGACGACCGCCGCCATTGATAAATCTCATCGGCGGCTGTTGTTTCGTTTCGGCCTCCTAAAGATTCGAGGGTCCACTTCACACCACGGAAAAGAGCCACCTTGGAGCACTGTCGGTTGGACTGCCCGATGGTGACCCAACTGTGGAGCTGGTGGGATGCAACCTGGCACTACCTCACTGGAAAAATACCTCCCCTGGGGCGTCCATACTCTCCGACTAGGGGAGCTCCCTCAAGGAGGGGTGGACTGGACACCCTTTATGACTAATCTCTTCACATACTCCAGACTAACAGTGCTAATGGCAGCCTGGAGGATGCGTTGTGCCTATGAAAGGAAGCAACACAACTTTGGCTGTATGCAAGCAGGGGCTACAATCATAGATAATATCACAGCTAACACCCAGGAGGCCTGGAGAGAAATGCAATCCAGGCTACGGAAAGAACCAGACGCGGCCAGAAAGCGACACATATTGGACACCTTTACAGCCACCTGGATGGACGGCAATGGGAGGCTATGCACTCTCGACAACGCTCAAAATATGAAATGGCAGCACTGGCTGTCAACTGAAAGGCAGTGGGAAAGACTGCCAAGGCACCACGTTCACGTGGAATACCAACCGGCAAACTTTGTTCTTATCCCACCACCCCCCTGCGGCCAACATCGGGACCACCTTCTTCCGAATCACAACCCCCTTCAGCATCCATCCGTGCACTCCCTCCCCACAGACACCTCCATAGTCGCCCACCGACACCGGCTCTCCTCTCCCCCCCACCTCCCACCACCCCACTGCGCTCAACATCGGGACCACCTTCTCCCAGATCACAACGCCCTTCAGCGTCTGTCCGCCTATCCTCTACCGCCCCCGGTCCCTCCACCTCCTTCCCCACAGACACCTCAATAGTTGCCTGTCGGCGCCCGCTCTCCTCTTCCCCCCCCCCTCCCCCCCCTCTCTGGGCCCCCTCATCCTCCCCACCACCCTGTCTTCACCTCCCATCTCAATTGCTGGCGAGGGATGATGGAGGGTAGGCCTGCTGCGCAGGGCTGTTGGGGAAACAGGCACAGTCTGAACACAAATATGGAAAGGCGGGTCTTTGGACCTCACTGTGGTAGCGGAGACGCATGCTTCGGCAATAGTTTCATTTTGTAAAATATACATTGTTCACTACCGGGACGCTGGACCCCATTTCCAGCAAGTGCTGCTCCTAATAGATGGAGCCCTCCAACCGGGGAACCACTTGAGGAGGATGCTCTTATCACCTCCTCAAGTGACAATCTCCCCGACAAGAGTTTGAAAAAAAAAAAAAAAGATTTGGGGGCCCGACACTGGCCCACATGGGAAAAGGTAGTCGTGGTTAAAAAAAAAATAAAAAAAATTCTAATTTTTTTCCTTTGATTTGGCTACGAATTTCGAGATGGTCCTCAGCCAAAAGAATTTTTGTATTGCAATGCCGCATAACTGCCATGACATATATATTTTTGAATTTTTCAGAATTTTTTGATTTTTTTTTAAGTCAGGTTTTTTTGGGGGGTGGGGATGGGGGGATGGATCTGTACACTCTGGACCGGGCACCAGACCCGGACATCCAGACCCAGACCGTCTGCACTGCAGTCCGGACGTCCGGATCATAACCGTGGTATAAATCCTCTACAACTATGCATCTGGCGTGGTGCAAGTCAACAGAATAATATCCGCCTCATAGGGCCCATACCCAATCTCACAATCGGTATGCCAAGGTGAAACCTTGGCCCGCCCATCTTCCTGTTCATTGTCAAGGCCATGGCATAAAAGACCCCTCGATTGACAGACTGTTAGTTAATCACATCAGTCCCTCTGCGATTATGCACTCATGGCAGCGCTAATGTTTGCTGATAATCTGACCACTCTAATCAGGACCACCAACTCCCCATTTCAAGCTCTAGCCTGCACTGTAGAAGCCTTCAGACTGGCCTCAGAAATGAAGGTCAAGTGATCCAAGACAACGGGACAAAGGCTTGCCGAGACCGCCCCCGTGCCCCCCCCCCCCTCCACAACCGAAGAGCATTCCGACCAGATTGCCTGGACCACTGGGGAGGAGGCCCTGCAATACCTGGGGATTAAGGTAAACAAGGATGGAACCTGGCCTGGGATGGGACAGAACCTGGTGGCCAAGGCAATCTCGAGGCTAGTTCCATGCAGAAAAAGCAATTGCTTCACTCCAAGGCAGGGCTCTAATCATAAATACTTGAAGTTTGATCCTCTCCACTCTGTGGTACTTGTCCTCCATGTGGTCTCCTCCCAACGAGTTCCCAAGGAAGACCTTAACAAAAGAGTGAGATCCTTTGTTTTTTTTCTATAATCAAAACTTTTTAAAAGAGTGAGATCCTACTTGTCACCAGGAGACAAATCCAAACAGTCCTCCATTAACAAGGTGGCCTAGCATCATTACATAACCAGGAAACCAGAGGAAGGAGGTCTAGGCCTACTGGACCCCAAACAGGAAGCCATCGGTCCCAAAATGAAGTGGGTAATCAACTGCTCCATCGCCCCTCTCTCCTCTGAGTCAGAAAGGCACTGGACAGCATCCAAAAACTGGCACCCATAGCAATGCTGGTCTTGTTTCATCTGTGCTGTTTCTCTTCTTCTACTTCGAACATATGCTTGCCGGTGATAAGCAACCTGACTGCTGCCCCCCAGAATATAGACGGGGCCCCGCCAAGAAACGAGCAATGGCATACTTGTGGATGGGCAATCCCTCGAGATCAAACCATATACCCAAAGTGGCGTGGATCCACCTCATCCAGCCCAAAGGTAGAGGTGGACTGGGACTCTAGGGTCCGGCCACCCAGGTAAAGGCGCTGCAGACTAAGTGGGTAGTCAAACTGATCATCCACGCGAACCTACCCTGGGTCACTTTGGCCCTGTATCGGATTAGACAGCTTCCGATAGCCAGCACACTGACCAACATGCAAGGCCTGTTCTGGCTAATCGACAAATCCTGGTCACCACGGCGCGGGACACCCCGACAACAGGACCAGCAACCGCAGGAACACCAACAGCAGCAAGAGCCAAGAAACTGCTCAGAATACTGGATGTACCTAATCAAGAGTTGGAGGGAGATTTTCCCGGCGAAGGTGCGCGAGCCAGCAACTAGGGAAGAAGTGTTACGCCAGCCTCTATCCTGTAACCAGTGGTTGAAGGACCAGGCAGACAAACCCTGGATCCTCACGACACGATACGCCCGATGGACACCTGGTTGGAACAGGGAGTCTGGCAAATCAAACACCTCTGGAACCAACAACACAACAGATGGAAGACGCACACAGAGCTGAGAGAGACTGTGACGATCCCTTCTCTGATGCGCGTGATCTTCTGCGCAACTGGACTTTGGGGGTAGCGGGGCGGGCCTATGGGTTTAATTGCATGAATGCCCTCATCCTTTTTTCCTTCCCTTCCTTTTCTGTTTTGCAAGAGCTTGGTCCTGCAACTGTTGGCGGTTAGGACGCGCCTTAGCCAGGGCAGGAATAACGGTTGACGTAACTTTCTCTTTTTCTTTTTCTTCTTCGGAATTCGGACGAAGAAGTTTGGTGCGACCATCGCGCGGGGAAAACCCTTTTGAATTTTTGAATTCTTAGAAAAGTACGCGGGCGACCGCGCTGATATTCGGAATTTCCTTTTGCAATTAGAACTTTAATTAGGCTATGATTTTGGGTGCATCGCATTTTTGCCTGACTACAGCTGTAACTGCACGCTGTTCCTTACTCGCGCGCGCCTTGCTACACTCTGTCTTGCGCTCTCTTCCCCCTGCGCCGTAATCCTAATCTCAACTGTAATTCTCTCTTTCTCTTCTTGGCGAGTGCTGGTGTAACTGTAATCTTCTCCCCCTTGATTTCTCTTCGTGCTGAAACTTGCGGCCTTCTTTCTCTTCATCTCATTGGGCAGAACGATGCATGACTGGATCAATGCGTGGAGAGTGGATATGTCCCCCACGCCACGGCCCAGGCATGCCGATCATAGGCACTCCCTTCCCTCCTCTTTCCCTCCTGCCTCAGCGTAATCCCGACTATCTCACACAGGTGCTGATTGCTATAAATTTCGCAAGTGCGACTAAATCGCTCTAATCTAAACTTTTGGAGTTAGTGCGGTCAAGAGGATCAGCTAACGAGTGTGAGCATGTATGAAGGTGAGTGTGGAGTTGGGCGATC